CTCTCTCTCTCTCTCTCTCTCTCTTTCTCTCTCTCTCTCCGATGCGGACAGTCCCTCGTTACGCACCAACCCACGAAGTTGTCACCCCTCTTAGCCCTCCCGCACCGGTCGGATTCGTCGTGCCCACAGTCCGTCGTGGCCCACGTCAATCCCGCCCGTTCGGCACCAGCCCGTCGGGTCACCCAACTCCTGCTCTACTCACCTCTTACTTCGCTCGTGTGCCGACCCTTCCTGATCGCGCAACCCCGAGCTTCCGACAACGGGTTAAGAGAGTTGACTAATCGCGCAGCCAAGATTTATAGCGTGCATGCATGCGCAAAAAACACGGAATTACCAGGACTTAGAGTGAGGATTAGAGAGGGAACACCTGCGTTCTGCATGATCGGCCGCGGCGTGGGGGACGTAACCCTCGAGCATGCAAGCCGCGTCTTACAAAATTTCAGCAAAAGAAAGAGATGGAGGGGAGGAGAGACGAAGTGCAAGAAGAGAGATACAGTTACAATGGTGCTCGCCCAAAATTACAATTACACATACGATTAAGGGCGCCCACTAATCAGAGTGTCGTTACAGCCGCATGAAGAAGCGCGTAAACAAAAGGCGCCGCGCGGCAAGAAAAATCCTAATTACTAAATTCCTAAATTCCTATCTACTACGAAAAAGCAAAAAGAAGCACGAGTTCCAGAAGGAAAGTCCGAAATTCCGAGAGCCATCGGGGGCTCGACAGAATTCGAAAAAGATTTAAAAGGAAATTCAAAAAGAACGAAGCAATTTCCCGTGCGATGTCCGCGCGCAAAAAGATCGAAACCTAACCGAAAAAAAAGACGTCAACATTTATTAATTGCGCAGGCGCGTGGCGGCGCGCCAGACAACCATCCGACCAATCACTCAACCGGCCGCCCCAAGACACACCTGACCCCGTGCCCGATCATTCGAAAAAGAAACGACGAAAGAGGACGAAAAAGCGAGGACACTGATGCAATTTTCCACCGATCCTGATCTCCCGTAATTAGCCCAATCTTCCCAGCTTAGGACCCCTTATTGCAACCGCGCAGAAAATTGCGCGTTACAGGAAGTTGTTCGTCACACCGCTAGGGTAACAGGGCACCACAACCTTCCCCAGTAGTGACCAACCTAGTTCTGACGGACAGGAAGTGCCTTCCTCCCTCAACATTTCCCTTAGCGGCAAGCCCCTGATACAGGTTACAGGGTTAGTACCCCGACGCCGGCTACGTCGAACGGTTTCGTTATGCCTTCCACCCTTGGCATAACTCCACAGGCCTTAAGCTCCCCCTAGGTCACAGACCAAAAGCTCCAGCACCAGCATGTGTCGTCCTAGCATCGTCCGTCTAACCTACTTACCTTAACAAACAACCTTCCTCTGTTGAGAGCCCCCTTACTACCTTCTATCCTCCAGTTCTAGCTCTCCCCCCTTTCCTCATTTTTTGAGATACCAGGGACATTACTTGACTTCAGCTAAGAACAAACAACTTAGAACTCCCCCAACAATCCTCTTTACCTCACTCCGGCAAGACTTACTGCAGCAGAATCATCATCTTCACTGCTGATGTGCTCTATTTTCGTCCTACGAGCTTGCCCCCTCGCTAGTAGGACGCCTGATATCCCACCATCTACTTCTCTCACTCACCTCTCTCAAGAACATATTAAAAAATCAGGAAATCGGAAGATTGAGAAAACCCTATAACGTTTCAACGCCTACTATTTCCATCAGAAGAGGGGAAGGGAGGAAAAAAACCACCCTCTCTCCCCATGGAAACTCCAACGCCTATTCTAATATCGATTCCATGTGCAAGGACACAACAACCAAAACGGATTACTCCTCTCCCTAAAAAAACGACCCCCTGTCTGATACTGCCTCCGCGGGGAAGCACCCCCTCACCTCCCAACCCCAGTTCAGAACAGCCCCCTAAATGTCACTCCTGCTCCCTCAGCTGCATACAGTACCCCCTAAAGTATGCCTCGCAGAGCCGAAGATCCCAGTTCCCTCCTGCCCTACCTCCTCCAAGTGAAACAACCCTACAACGTCTCACCATGCTGACATCAACACCCCTTGTCCTCTTTCCCCAACCGCCATAGCTGATCCGACCCAAAAGTCAGCGTGGCCCAAAAAAGGACAAACCCTCAACACCGCCCCTCCCTCTCAAAGATCTCCCCCCCCCCCCCTGTGTAACCCTCGCAGGGAGGGGCTTCAACCCTAAAGGAGATGCTTTCATTCAGATTCAATAGCCAAAAACAGATGGAATGATTATTAAGATAACATAACTAAATCCGATATTTGAAAAACCGCAAATTAAGATTAGACAATCAGAAATTGAATCAGAACACACAGTGACTAGAATTTTGAAATCAAGATTACGCACCTCATGAATTTAAGCATCAGGACAAATCAGAAGATCAAAAGAGATTGAGTTAAAATTTGAAAATTACTTTTAAGAAATCAAAGGTGCCTACGCAAATCAAGATCAAACAATCAAAAATTGAATCGGAACACACAGTGACTAGAATGTCGAAATCAAGATTACGTACCTCATGAATTTAAATGTCAAGACGAATCAGAAGATAAAAAGAGATTGAGTAAAAATTTGAAAATGACTTTTGAAAAATCAGAGGTGTCCGACCTTTAATTCAACGAATCTCAGACTAAGAGTATTGCCCAGAAAATAATTCAGCAACAAAAAATACGACAGTCAACACGACTAATGATATGAAATTCGAAAGAAATAGGCAAACAAACTAAGTCAAAATTAGGACAACCAACTAGGTCAAGATTAATCTTGATTTAATCTTGATTTTTAAACCTCAGAACCAGAGTTATTAGTTATATTTTCATTGCATATCTAAAATTCAAGGTTAGAGGGACTAATAGGTATTAAACCAGACAAAACTATATGAGAATCACATCGTTAAAAATCTCATCAAGGTCATCACAGAATCAACGCTACAAAACGTGAAGAGGAAGAACACAACTTACCCTCGACATCCATAAACGCACCCCCCCTTTCTCCAAACCTCACCTCCTCCTTCGTCAGCTCCCAAGCAACTCGGCCGCCTGTGATTGGCGACTATTCAACCATCCCAAAGGACCGGACAATGAAGATAACAGGACCGCAACTAGGATTACCATCACAACACTCCAAATCACGTCACGAGACTAAACCGCTGAGCCTGCCAGCCGCCCCTCGCAGGTAGCCCAAGGAGATGAAGGGGTGTGATCGTCGTAGACGTCGCCCGCCTATACAAGACCTTACTCCCACGTTCCTCCTTCCGTTCCTTCTTATAATACTCTTCCTTTAGCCCATAAAACCCTGCCAAGCAACCACATAACAGAAACAACAAACAGGAGAGCATGCAGCAACGCCCGGACACCACTAGCCTGCTCCTGCATGCCCCATGATCCCTCTCCCCCCTCATCATCCGGCTGCTGACCTCTCACCCCACACTCTCGTCCGCCCCAACCGCTCTTCGTCTCCAACCCTCACCAAGGAGCCTGCCGTTGCGTCAAAACGTCGGGCGGCAGAGCGCTCCCGGTAGTGCCCCGCCGCCGCCCCCCTCACTGCCCAGCGGCCTCCTTTTTTTTATTTCTCGTTTGTTTGTTACGAGTCCCCTGCCAACGAGTCAGGGTGGAATCTGTGATCTGGAGCGAGGTCCCACTAGCAACGGGATAGGATAGAAATGAGTTTATGGTGCAGTTGAGTGACCAAAATCCTGCCTTGCAGTACTCGTGATCCCACGGTCAGTATTTCACTGACCATGCCCGTGCAACGAAAGCTTCCCGCCAGAATCTTTTCAATCGGTTGGGGGTGTGGCCAACCCCGAAAGAGGGTGGGGTCGGCCACATGCCCACTGGACAGAAGATTTTTAACATTTTACTTGTTGTTGTGCAATTATCTCCTTGGGTGGACCCCTCCTTCAATCACGGAGTATATGGAGGGTTTCAGGATCACTGCTGACAGAAGTCGAGTTTATTCCAGAAAATGTGGCGGTTACTTTGTTCACTGCTGTCAACCACCATCATCAGATCATTTGTGATCTGATGTCTGGGAAGCACTCTGCCGTGATTTCCGACGGGAGGTCTCTGTTTCTTTTTTTCTCTTTTGCCTTTCTTCTGTTTTCTCAGCCCAAAAATTCGTAATGAACCTGTCAGCCCGCTGTCACTCAGTGTCACACTGGATCGGCGACTGTTAATGGAACCTCGGCCCCGTTAATGGAACCTCGGCCCTGCGCTGGCTGTGTTTCCTTTTTTTAAGTCCAGGGTGTTGTAGAGGTTAGTTTCTGGACCCACGACATGTACCTATCTACAGTCAGCAACTAATTTATGGGACCCAGACCGTCCTATCCTGGAGGATTGTATCCAGCTATTCTCACGGCCGAATCCGTGTTTCCATTTATTTATTTTTTTTTCCTGTTTTTGGAATCTGACAATCTGAATCCGTGATCTGTTCGAGCTGTGTTCCCTCAGAGGATTGTAACCCTCATCACACTGGCACTTAGAGGAACGTATCCAACCATTTTCACGGCCGAATCCGTGTTTCTGTTTTTTTTTTTTTTGTGTGTGTTTTTGGAATCTGACAACCTGGCCATGGGGCTGAGATGCCCTCACTGAGGGCACAGTCACACTACCATTTCCAAGAATGTATGCAACTGCAATCACGGCCAGATCATTGTTTCCTTTTCTTTTTTTGTGAGTTTCACAGCTGCAACTTTTTTTTTTTTTTTCTTTTCTTTTTCTCCCCGTTAGAGTACCATAAAGATATGGAGTGGGACCCATGCTCGGCAAACTCGGAGCACAGTGAAATTCAGGGTCGGCAAAAACAGGCTTGGAGGTACTAGTGGTTTAATAAAGCCCAGGGTGTTGTAGAGGCCAAGGACCAGACCCACAGTGATTGCTGGTAGCGGCAGATGTCCTGACAGGATAGGCCACCTACCCTACTCATCCCCACCCTGTCCCTACTATCCTACCTCAGTGTGACCAGCACTCAGGACCATCACCCTACCAGTATCGAGGGTAACTTGCACTAGAGAGCAGTGACAAGCACCAAGGCTGGGCCAACCTCCCAGCCCTGATGGAAGCGGAAGCGAACGAACCTTGCCGTACGGGAACTTCGGACGCCAGGCTCATGCAATCTTCTACAGGCCCAATTCAGAGAGTCTACCCAGCAGGATTACCTAAGCAAGGCAGGCCAGCAGCCGCAGACACATCCTACTGTCCTTCCCCTAGCTTACCCAAGGCTAGGCGGGGCTCAGACTAGCCGGAGCGATGTACATCCCTACCCTACTCTAGAGCTTAGCCATGTGTGAGTAGACCCCGTCATATACCTGATATACCCCCCCAGCCCAGTATCGTAGTTGTGTGTATGTGTGTATTGCCAGAGGCTATGTATGTTTGTATGAGCCCATAGGGCCATGTTTTTTGTGTCTGCCCGAACGCTATGTGTGCTCTATGTAACTGTATAGTGAGATATGTGTGCCCGAAGGCCAGATATGTGCAGTACTATGTACAGGGAATTATGTGTTTGTTTGAAGAGATGACAGGCCAAGCTGGACAAGACACCCCCCCCAAAGTCCCAAGCCAGACTCGAACCTGTGGTCTATGACGTGTGACTTGAAGACCCTACCATTTGAGCAACAATCGTAAACGGCCCTGTGTGTGATATGCCAGACTGGGGCCATCAACAGAACAACCATGAGCAACAGCCACAAGCAACCCACACAGTATCAAGACCCAACATACAACACCATGGACAACCCTTGGGTTGTGCGCAGGCAGTGTCTGTATAAGCTTACTGTGCGTCAGCCCAAGGGGGTGTGTGTCCAGCCGTGCGTCATTCTAATGCCCTGCCGGTGTCAATGCGCAAGGCTGCAATTGAGTTTTGAACCCGCAACCTCATACCACAATGCGCATTTCCAACCCGTGCTCTAACCATGCCCGACTTGGGGACGCTTAATTCTGGTTTCGAGTAGACACGGGTCCCTGCCATCCGACCCACACTGTGACCGCGACCGCGTTGAAAAATACTCGAACCAGAACTGAACCTCAGCAAGTGGGGCACTGTCCCGGGGGCCAAGTCTCACTTTTCCGAATTCTTCATTTCTGAGCCTAGATTACGAAGATCAACGGCCGGAAATGAAGAATCCAAGGTGGTCGGACTCGGCCTCGAGTCATGGTTTGAGGTTGACATCAACCCCCCGAGAGCATAAGAGAGGTGCAGTCGTGTGAGCCGTGCGACGGACACGCCGCTGTTGGGTGGAGGACTATGTCGCTGAGAAGGTGAACGACCAGGTGCGACGAGGATCGATCCAAATCGGGAAAAGACAAGGAGAAGAAATGAAATTTCAGGCGATTTTCAACGACCGAGGGGTCAATCTGTTGGAAAAGCGTAAGTGAACAAAATGAACGAACTACGGGAGTGCGAGTGGGTCATGCATGTATCAGCTTTCATCAGATTTGCCTACACAAACCGTGGCGCGATCACGTGTCTTTAACCGAAAAGAAAAAATAGGGAAAGGCGCATGACGATGACATCAAGGGGCGTAAAAAAATCCATCCGGCCACAGTGTGTGCGATTGCTTCTTCTTCTTCTTCTTTTTTTTTTCCCCCCTCCCGGAGTCAAATCGTAGGTCAATTAAAAAAAAAAAAAATCGTGACTAATCCATTCAGGAGACCAGAAACAAAGATGAAAAAAACAAGAAAAAAAGAAGGAAAGAAAGAAAGAAACGAAGATGGGGAAAGAAAAGGAAGGAGAGAGTTTCTGTGACTTTCTGTCGCATTGGAAAAAAAAACAAAAAAAGAATATCTTTTTTTTTTTTGCTTTTTTCTTCGAAAGGGCGACGGCCTTCAGCAGATATCATCGTTGAAGTGACAGCCCCCGGTAAACTCAAAATTATTTCTGGCCATCTGTCTGTGTCCGGATTCGAACTTGGGTTTGTATGTCAACAGTTTGTGGGTGTACCGAGTGAGCTACGCTCGTTGGTTAAAACAATAATGATAATAATAATAAAATAATAAAATAATAAAATAATAATAATAATAATAATAATAATAATAAATAATAATAATAATAATAATAAAAAATCGTAGGACTATAGATGCAACAATTGTTTTAATAATTGGATCAAGTGGATACGTTGTGGACCGGGCCCAATGCTGATGGATCGTGTTGATTCTGCCATGCTCAACCCTGCGGACCGGCATTAATACCGATGGACCATGTCTGATCAACGTGCAACCGTTCGTGCAGTGCCATGTTCTCCCGCTTTCGGTGTATTTTGTTTTTTTAATAATTATAAAGTTTGTGAAGGGAGCAATAAAAATTGGGTTCTCTCAAAAAAAAAAAAAAAAAAAAAAAAACCCCTAACCCTATTACTATATTGATTGCAAAAAAAAAAAAAAAAAAAGAATAAATAAAATTACTATATTGAATGGATCTGGTCAGGAGATCATCAAGTTTAGTATCTGTTCTGGTCAGTTTAATATCTGATCCACACACAAAAAAAAAAAAGTTATTTGTGGAGACTTACTTGTGTAATACCAGTCAGCCACATGGGCCGGGGGTGTTTGGACTCTTTTGAGTTCTT